GGGGCACATTGCAGAGCATCGTAGACATACGTACGACGCTGCCTACAATGAATATTAACATGCATGAAATATTCTTTCCTAACGGAGCCAATAAAATGCTCTCCTCCCACCATACTACCAGAGAAAAGGAGACGAATGTGGTTGACCAGAGAAATTAAACGGGCAAAAAGATTATGAAAATATAAAATCAAAGAATTAACCAAACATCATTTCTGTAGATTACTATAGGCTGAAAATAATTTAGTGCCTTAATCCTTTCAGCATTTACTTTTGAAGCTAATGCCTCAAAAAATGGCAGATCTGCTGTCGTATAACCCAACACATACAAGGTTTCGCTGCTTAAAATTAAATTATCAAGGTGTAAATTATTGCGAGTGAAAATCATGAACATATGGCTTACATTGATATACCTAAATTTGAGCTGTAGAGGGCTGATAAGTTCATGATCAGGTTGGAGGCCAGGGGCTGAAATAACAGTGTGAAAAACCGCGCTGTTTATGTTATCCACAATTCGAGGCATTTCTCCAGTCCTGAAAGCGGTCATTGTAAAGTACACTTGAGTTAGAATCGATGTAATTTATTAGGATCTAAAAACTTTGGTCTCTGGGGCTTATGTCATTCAAAATATGATATAAGGCAAAAGTGTATGAAAGGCATAGAAAGATACCATCTGCATGCAAAGAGGACTTAAAAGGACTTAATAGGGCTAAATTATCAATAGCAAATAAGGACAATTATTAAAGCCCCGAAGGACTAGTCTGCAGCATAATCCCATAAGTTTTGGCAGCAAAAATTCACAAAGGTTTCTACGAGCTCATGTCTCGGAAAAAGCTATTTAAAACAATGCATGTATAAATAGATAAGCATAATTGACTAGAATGACTAGTTTTCTGGGCAGTCAATTTATAATCAAACTTCAGTAAAACAGATCATCAATACATCTGAATAATCAAGAATAAACCAGTATCATCTGGTTTAACTCACTCTTTCACAAAGTAGGTAGAAAAGCTAACAGATGGAAGGCGATTTCCACCATCGCAAATCTCATTTTATCCCAAGTCTTCAAGTGTATCAACTTTGCACAGATGGTACTATGTTATAAAGCCAGTTAAGCTGGCTAAATTAATCTAGTAGGTTTCATCATAAATGAGAAGTGAGACAGGCTGGTTACAACTTGCTTACGTAGGTTTAGGGTACTTTGGGTCAATTGTTGGCAGGTAAAATCCCAATGTTGGATAGATGGCCACCACTATACCGACATAATCTGAAATAGTGATAAGCATTGAAGAAAAATAAAGTTTTTATGAGTTTAACTTTCCAGTTCAATTTAATTAAACCTTTTCTGCTTAGTAAAGCTTATGAATTGACAAATGTGAAAAATGTCTACTATTTAAAAACGAATGATCTTCTTAAGGGCCTACAGAAAAGTAATTGACTAATTGGCCTGCGTCTTTTACAAAAAGACTTTCTTCATCTAATTCGATAAGGATGGTGGAAAGTTTAAATAAAAGAAATAGATGAGACGATACGCCATTTGATTGAGATTCTGCCATCAAGGATGATCTGACTGTCTATAATGAAGTGGATAGAGAGCCTGATTTCTGCATGAAATGTTAGTGAGGTATTAGTTATTTAATTTTCTCACAATGATATGATTTATTGCACGTTTTCCTTAAAGTTTACTTGGTCTTGCTTCCAAAGAGGCATTCTCATTTTATGTGGACTGTAGGTTTGACCTGGCATAAGTCTCATCAGCGCCCCCAGAGGGACATGAATCCGGATGGGAATACTTTTGGGAATCAAGGCTTGGTTAAATTCAATAGAAACATGAGGTCTACTTGAATAATTGTGAGTAAGTTCAATTATCAGTCGTTCAGCACTTTATGTGGTCTAGGATGACTGGAACTATTTTCAAGATGTACAGATTCTTAAAAAACCCACTGTATACGAATACAAAATATAAAAGAACAAATGGTGTCCAAAGTATAAGTATTCCTCATACTGTACTTAAGTATTCCAATTTATATGAAGACCAAGATGGTGTGGCCTTCTATTCGGCCGAAGTTTCCTTTAGCTTTATAGTATTGGTTCGACCTTGTTTTCGCAACTTGGTCGGAGCGTCAGGAAGACCTTTTAGAATTAATTTAGTCCCACGTCCTCTGTCATAATTTCCGTAATTTCCAGCATCGGATCAATGGTCTGAAGCTGAAGATCACGATTACCATGACAGAGGACGCTCCGACCAAGTTGCGGAAACAAGGTCAAACCAACGCTAAAAGTATTCCAGTCTGGACCTTTGATCACAGTGCCTTTCCTCTTCTATTTTTGTCCACAGTCCACTCATATACACGAATGCATTTATTGTCAACTTCAACGGGCAATCATAATATTTCTGGTTATATTCTATTCTTAGATTACTCCTCTTTTAATACTCGTGCGTTGTCTGTTCGTATGTATTCTGGTGCTTTCCAAAACCACTGTAGATGATGGTGAAAATATGATGATCTATAGACAAGGACAAGTATAGCGAAGTGTGAACAACGGATAATAGGAAGATTAGGCTCATAATAGGTTTTAAATGGGGGAAATATAGAAAAAGAACTGCATCATAAGTAATAACCTACTGAGGAGCAAAGAAATGCAATATTCTTTTCTGTACCTTAGCGATGAATCGCTGATTCGTCTGTTTATAAATTACTAGCTATGTTTTGTGTTACCTTGGTTGATCAACAGAGCGATACTGGTGAACTTACTGTTATCTGGAGATGGTGGATCGGCCAGATCTGGTAATGAATCCTTACCAACATGAAACAGGCCCATTTGATACCAATGCATCTTGTCCTCTCCGTAGAACGAAGCCCCTTCCGTCGATCTTGTGCGTACCATGAAGTTTTTAAGTGACACTATATGGAGATCATTATCATTTGGGCACCATTCCTCGGAAAATTCATTCCAAGTTTGAAACATAAATTTAACCACTAAAATTGAGAATTAATTTGAAAAAAAGACAATCTGGGTTTCAAAGAATTTCTTAGCGATATATAATAACATGATTTTCCATTTAGAGGAAAAAGTTGGCTGGAAGGAATTTGTGATGTGGTCTCACCGGAAACCGAAGAAGGATTTCCA